ACAACACATTCTAAAATTTACACAACAACAATCTCCTTTTGCTGGTATTTCGTGACCAGTTTGCCTTGTCCAAATGCTTTCTTTCGCACTCATTTGTTTACACGGAAACGGTAACTGCAGTAAATGATGTCCGACAAATACAACAAATTTATTTATGCTTGACTGCAAAACAATCAAGCAGTGAAATTGCAGTACATCACCAAACACTTTTCTTTACCGACAGTCTCTGTCCTTGAAATCCAATTGTTTTCAAAGGGATGGGAAGGGGATGTATGGTGTTACCAGTTATGCACATGCGTCTGCTTCCGCATGACGATGCCCAGAACGACTCCTGATTTAAGGACATTTTGTCTGCTAAACCTTTGTAAGAGTCAGCTCAATTACTTAAGAGTGATGCTATCGATCCGAAGCATCAACATTCCATTTTCACTGGTCGTTCCTCTTACTAAAATCTATGGTGATGTGGGGCAAAAAAAAAAAAAAAAAAACTCCTAATAAGTAAATTTTAGTCAATTAGGAGGTTTCTCAGTTGTATTTGTAAACTAAAGCAGTCAGGAGTTCAATTTTAGTCAATTTTTCCCTCTATTTCTCCCTAAAACCAGTTCCAACAAAGGCCCTGCCCTTTGGTGAGGATCTCCAAAACCTTTCTCCCTGTAATTACTCGTACGGAAAAATCTATGAGATTAGATGTTTAAATCTAAGTGGGGCACGAAGTTCTCATCAACTTTAGTGGTGTACAACTAAGTTGCAAAGTCTTGAGTTAACACATGATCTTACAGAGGAGTGAGATTTGCCCACAAAATTTCCTCAGTACAAGGGCACAGCAAGCATAATAATAACGCCGGTGATTGGGGCCTGATTTACAATTAATTGGCAGCGGCACCCACCTCGCCTGGATTGGAGGACCCCAAAAAACAAAACCAAAAAAAAAAAAGAATAAAAATCAAAAGAAAAGCTCTACGGAGCTGAACCCTTTGCGTGTCGTGTCTCTGATGTAGCACTGCGCACCATATATCATTTCAGGGCCTTTAAAGCCTTGAAGGTGATGCAACAGAATTAGGTGAATGAAATGAATTCGCGTATTTTGACTCTTTGATCACTACTATAATTCATAAACTTAGTTAAAGAAAATGGAATTCAAAGCCTGGCTCTCCAAAATGGGATGTGACAATAGGAATATGAACTCTGCAAATGAATGGCAGTTTTCTTTGCCAACTGCCAAAGTTGATAGTTATTTTCAGATGTCAGTTTCTTTATCCCTTGAGTTGTTATTGTTGTGGATAATGGTGGTTCAAAATTTAATTTTACTACAATTGATCCCCATTCTTTTTTTTTTCCCTTTTCGAGTCATGATCATATTTGTTTGGATTGCCATTTTTTCTCCGAAAAATTTTTACGCGCTTTTCAGAAGCACAATTTTCTAGTCATATTGTCACATCACATGCATTAAATCACTATAATATATCTTTCTACAAAATTCCAAACGGGTGACTGAAGCTTACGTTCTGCATTTTGCAAATGTAGTAGTGCTTGTTAAGATTATACACAGCACTATCTTTATCCGTGCTTTCTATGTGATGTTAGTTTCATTGAATTAGGTGTGCTTTCAATGAACATGAAGTAAAATAATTTTGAAGAAACTGATTTTTACAGAAACGTGTTCAGGGCTAGAAGTTGCACGATCATTTTTTTCTTTTTTCATTTTCTGTTTTGATTTCAAAGAATTTGTCAAACTTAGATGAAAAAGCTCCCCGGTAGTGACCACTGGACTTGTAAAGTATTACGTTGGTAGTTCTGCAATTGGTAAAAGTAATTGAAATTTCGAACCTTATAAAGCCATCTTGTCCAATTCCTAGGAAGTAATAATAAAAGGATGACAATTATCGTTGTCATGGTGGTAGATCGAAACTAATTTGCCCAGTAAATTGGTAAAAAGGCGCGGGCTGTCACATGGAAAATAGGCCCAATTGTGTGGTTCCTTTTTCGACTTATTATAGGATGGCCCGAAGCAAAGGCCGCTGCATAAAGACACGTAGAACTCGGTGTCAAATCACTCAATGATCTATTGGGCTTTGTAAAAACAAAAGCTCCAAAGATCCTAATTCGAACACTGTTGGTCTAAAAGTCCATCACTGTTTCAGTATCCGGTATTGTGCTGTTTGCATTTTCATCGCACAAAAATTTAGCCCAGGTGTGTTTCACTAGCCCCTAAAAGAACATTCAGAAATTTTTGTTTTGATCGTAGGTTTAAAATGAGATAATTTACTTCTTGAAGTTTCACAGATTTGCCACCTTGGTCCTTTGACATACGAAGCTTCAAATAAACTTTCTAGTCGCAGGAGTTTGTTTAGAGACACAAAATTAGAAAATTCATCCTGATTTCTCATAAAAAATTGCGAATTTCAACTACAAGTTAAAACTAAACTAATTAATCCTTACCAACTAAGTTTAGTTTTTGGATATGTGTTTTCTTTCTTTTACAGTAGTTAAAATAGATTTTGGAAATGGGTTATATGTTCTTCTTCGTAGTAGTAGCGAAAGAGTTAAAACAGGTGATAAATGTGATAAACTTGCAATAAAGTTAAAATAATTCACATATAACGGGGAAAAATGACATGATATTAAACCATAACTCACATGATAGTATATAGGATTAATCTTATATACAATATTTGTATATACACAATCACTGCTATATATATATAATACATGTGCAAAATTTGAATTTAAAATTAAAATTTTGCTCATGTATCATCCATCCAACTATGATAGTGCATATACTGACAGTATATATAAGGTTTACTATAATATAAGGGACTGAATTATTTATTTTTCATATGTGCAACAAAATTAAGAATCTTTTTTAAAGGAAAATTTTTTTTAGAACCACTCTATTGAAATTTTCCTATTCATGAACTTCTACCTATTTATAGAAGTAGACATGGTAATTTAATGTAGCATCCTTATTTTTTTGGCATGCGGCATATCTTCCCTTTGAGAAAGTTGTAATTTTTTTCTCAATTTTTTTATTTCCCCAATTGACCAAGATAGAAGATCTACTATATGGGTATATGGGTTAAAACAGAAGATTTCCACTGCAAGTTATTTTTTTAACTGTACGGACTTGTGTTGCTTTTATGTGTTGTCTAATTTATAATCAAAGAATCGAGTTTTACAAATTAATGAAAAACTTTTAATCCTTATATACTGATTAATTATGTTTGATTAGTAGCTAACCTAACTGTTACATTTAAACGGCTCATTTTAAATGGTCAATTAAAGTCTCTTTTCTTGTTCCCTTATAAATTGTTTGTCAAGTTGCACTAAAAAATTAGCTTTCTTCCTTTCCAATTGTACTCAAGTCGTGCACTTTTTTCATTGCCTTCCTTCATGAACCTAAAGATTAGTGATGTATTTGATACATTCCTTTTCACTCATTTCCTATAGTCATAATCTAGTTCTTCACCTTTGCTTAGGAGAAGCTTCAAACTCATTTTGACTACTTTTGATTTAATTACAGCTAAAGTTATGTTGCTACCAAGTTGGTAATACAGACCTAGTGTATTTACTTTCTCTCTTTTTTTTTGTACCACCATATCACACAATGCTGATTCAAAATTATTTATCCAAATCATAATAAGAAGATTGAGGAACGAGTGCTTGTAGAAGAAGATGGGGTGAGCTAGACTGATGGCATGGGAACCTATGTTTTCAGAACCGGACCGGATAGCGACTCGGCCAAGGTCAGGGGTCAGGGGTCAGGGGTCAATGGGTTCGACCGGGGTCGATAGGGGTCGAACCGGATGACGTCATAAATAAAAATTATTTAAAAATTAAAATATTATATTTATAATATCTAATAATATATTGATATTAAAAAAGGTATATTCATATATATTTGATGTTTCAAATATATTTAACAAGAAAATATAAAGAAATTAGAACAATTAAGTAGCAATTTATATTATTTAATAAATATTAACAAGTTTAGAATTAAAATTATGAGTTTAATTGAAAAATAACATCAAATTTTAGGACAATATTTATAAAGTATCAAATATTTGAGGTATATCGATAAGTTTTAACAATTTAGGGGGTCAAAACATAATATTATAAAGTTTGAATTTTTTTTTTAAAATTACTGTTGAACCGAAAAAACCGATTTTTTCCGGTCAAACCCGATTTTGACCGAATTTTAAATTTCCGGTTTTTAATAAGACTCGGACCGGCTACCTGGCCGGTTCCCGGTCCGACCGGCCGATCCGGTCCGAGTTTCAAAACAGAGCCTTCCTTTCCTCGCCTCTAGCCTAGACTTCAGACGAATTTCCGAGTTTCCAACGAGTGGAGAATGGCCTGTTCTCCACGGGGGCTAACTTCGGCCCTGTTTGGTACTTGAGTTTTTTGTCAAATTTATTTGTTATAAATTTTTTGAAAATTTTTATCTACAATAATCTCAAAAATGTTTTCAAAAATTTCAAACTATACATTTTAAAATATTTAAAAATTGACACACTTCAAAATTTTTTTAAAAAACTTCTACAGTAAAATACAGTAAAATTTTAAACAAATATCCAAAAAAGTTACTTACAAACAAGGCCTTCATTTGTTATAAAATTCGAGGAGAGGGAAGGAGGATGAATGGTTGACTAATTTCATAGATGAAAATTTCTTTTTATAACAAATTTTAATTATTCAATGTTTAATTTTTCTTACTGTATTTCTGCTTATTTATGTATAAAAAATATAGATATGTTACTATAGGTTGAATTAAGCAACTAGATACCTAAAGCTATTTTTATCATTGTAAGAAATAAACAAGAGAAATCGAGCACATTGTGGCAACGCACGAGTCTCAAACTTTTCAATGTCACTTATCTTAAACGCTGTCGTAGCCATTTGTCAAAAATTGTAAGTATATTAATTAATAAAAAAAATAAAGAGAAAGGTTAAGAACAATTTCTGCAGCCTCTTTCAGTCTTCCTATCCAATCCAGAAAATAATTTTCAACTCATTTTCCCTTAACCCAGTACAAACTTTCTGGGCATGAAAATGGCTGCTCATACTCTCTCAACGCCAGCAACTACTCCACCTGGAATTTCCCCACAGAATTGGAAGCACACCAACCACTTTTTTACAGCCCAAAACATGTTAAAACACAGAGTCCCACACTACAGAGTCCATGGCTGGGCTGTACAAGCAGAATATCGGTCCATTCCTCTAATCTCAGACCCTTTATCCAAAGACATCGACCCATTAAAGCCACTGTCATTTGTAGCCTGCCCACTTCGTAAAGTTTCAATTTTTCTTGTTCTCTTTTTAAGTTTGATTATATTATTTTTGCAGGAAAATAGAATAAAGTTGGGATTTTTATTGATGTCGCAGGAATCCTGAGAGGGTTGCTTCAGCTGAGAAAGTTCCCAAGTGGGTATTTTTTGAGCTTGTTTGTTGCTTAACTGTGATTGTTTGATTGCTGTATTGGGATTTTGCATTATGGGTTTTGTTGAAATTGTAGATGGTCAGCGAAGGCAATAAAGTCATTTGCAATGTCTGAATTGGAAGCTAGGAAGCTCAAGTATCCAACTACTGGGACTGCAGCTCTTCTTATGGGAATCTTAATTGAGGGTTGGTCAATTTTTTTCCCTTAATAATGTTATTTGTTTAGTGCTGGACGGTATGGTTTTGGTTATTGATTTATCGTCTTCATATTCATGTAACATGTGCTTACTCCATTATGCAACAAATTAGTCTGTTTGCTTGAGGATGAACTTATGTTTTGAGTGATTAGTTAGTTTAACAAACCTCAGTAGAAGAAAAGTAGTTTTCGATTGGACAACGATACAGTTAAGTATCCAATCGAGTCAATGAACGCATAATCTAGTTACTGTTTGTTTTTACGAGGTAGTAGATATAACGAATTTCTGATCAACAACGTGTAGAACGGTAGAACCCTTGTGGTATCTTTCACGTATTGCAGGATTAGGGACCTTTTCAATATAAAATGAACTGAGCCATAGGGGAACAGTATATGGAAGTCATGATCCGTCTACCTTGTGACATTGGTAGTACCAAGTTGTATGCAAGTGCCTGCATAATAGCTCCAAGGGCATACCTTTGCTAAATCAGATGTAAATAAGTGAGAAGGTAAGGGCAGTAGTAGACAAATAAAAGAAAAAATTTTCAAGATCTGGGCTGATGTTGCCAATACGCCATGGTAATCACAGTTTTGCCTGTTTAATGTTGCTGCTTTTTGTCAACCAGGGCTCTTATCAGTGTTATACACTTATCTCAACTAGAGCTGAGTATTCCCTCATACATAAATTTGCAGCTTGATGTCAAATTCTGTCATGCAATTGTAAAACCAAAACCTTTGACATTAAGTCTTTATTTGGTTTCATTTCCATTCAGCATACTGCCATAAATTTGGAGAACCAAGGAAATGAAACTGAACAGGCTATGTTCGACAAAGACTGATGGATAAGCAGTTGTGACCAAACTATCTTTCAAACAGAACTCAATCAACTTGATCCTATTTTCTTAGCTCAATTTAGCTTCAGAGTTAGGAATGCTACGTTCTCTTGCAAAGTTGAGTCCCTGCTTCTACCTCCACTTTTTCTCACTTAGTCACTTGTAATGATGTCTAAGCATTGAAAGAAATCATGTCTTTAAGGCTCTCTGTTTCATTAATTTATGGTTCGGTTTTGTCTGCCATGCTTAAAGAAGTTAATTAGTAGTATTATTGGAGTGATTCAAGTTAAAAGGGATGGGAATGGGAAACATAAATGCACAAGGACTATTCTCTTTGTTTACTAAGTAAAGAGGATGTTAAGTAAATTGGGTTCTTTCAATTCCCCTCTAGATCATCGATATATTTAGCTGGTGGTTTTCCTTAGTCAAGAAAAAGCAGTATAGTTTTGGAACTGCTCCTCTTATATTTCCAGTTTTGGTCTACATGAAATTGAAAAAAACAGCTGGGCCTTGGCAAGAGCAGAAAAGAACTATACAGCAGCCAAGGTATGACTACATTAGTTCTCTTTTTTGTTTAGCATTTTAGGAGCCTCTGTGTATCTGTATTATTTGATGACATGTGTAACTTCTAGTTGGGCTTGAACCTTTTTGATGTCTCATATGTAACTCATCATATCACTTGCCTACACTTTGTCTTCAGCTAATTGAGATAGAATCGTGTAAATGGTCAAGTTAGAGGGAGCTAATCATCCTCCAGTCCAATATGTCTTCTGTACAAAGAATCAGTTGAGAGAAAAATGTGTTCAATAGAGCTTCTAAAACTTTTCTAAATCACTAATCCAGAACTCTTTCCTGTGATGCATGATAAAATTACAGTTCTTTCATCAATGGAACTACCCATGATTATAAATAATATGCATGGCCATCTTTGATTCTTGTTTTGTTTCTGCAGATGAATGTGATTTATTTCACAAAATTTCACCCATGTTTCAAAATCTTTTGTTTTTTAGGAACAAATTTTGCTTCAAAATTTTTGCGGGCAAATGGAATTACACTTTCGAAAGTTCGTGAAGAAACTGTAAAGCTACTTGGAAAGGCAGATATGTATTTTTTCAGTCCTGAGCATCCTCCTTTGACTGAAGATGCTCAAAGAGCCCTTGATTGGGCTGTCGATGAAAAGCTCAAATCTGGTATGCTTCTACTACATCTACCAAGGTGGTTTATCTGTCAATTCAAATTTGAGATACCTCCTTCTTTTGATCAGTATGATCTATGATCTGATTTTAACTCATTACGTTGCTGGAATCAATTATAGTCAGCTTGTCTTTTTCAAAAGAGCTCGCACATTAGATTGGGGTTGAGCAATCTTACTCTTTTTTATAGTCTGTTCATGAAGCTCAGAAAGCTACAAGGCGTTAGTTATATGGAATTATGAAATTAAAATTAAAGGGAAGATCTAGGATCAGGTATTTCATATGGATCAAGAAAGAGGTGCTTTATCATGGTTGCAAACTAGTTTGTTCAAAAAATTGATTGGAAGTTCTAATTCATGCATCAGCTATATTGCATGGTAGTGTTGCTAAATATCAACAAGTGCAGCAAACTGGTGATCGTGGCAGAACTGGAAAAGATAGAATAGGAAAACAGTTTTTGAAACATAAGCTGAAAGGACGGAACTTTTTGGTGACTGCTTTTTAGTCGTGGATCTATCTGAGAGCTGAATCAATAGCAAATGAAAGAATCCTGGGCAACTAAGATGGGGTAAATTATCAGCTGAATAATGTGTACAGCATGACCTGGGGAATATTCAGATGCCTGGCGGCCAAAGAAAAGGACACTGCAACACTCAAACGGTTAATTATTGGACAAATTTAGAGAACATGGTTATAACAAATAAATGGTTAACAAATTTTTCCAGATAGAATTAGGTTGAGTTCTTTAATTGCACATCAAAACTTAGTATTAACGAACAAAGAAACTCAGGAAGCAAAGGGAGAATAACTATATTTAATATCAAAAGGTGTTAGAAGATGTGGAACTGGGGAAATATTATATTAACAAATGTATGAACGTAAAGCTCTTAGCTTTAAGGCCTTAATATAGACGAAAGTAGGAGGAGAAGAATCACTTTTATTTGTATCTTCTGCTGCCTAGAAAAGATTTTCGATTCTAGTTTTGTTGATAAAGAAATGATTCCCCAATAAATGAGAGTGAATCTCTGCTCACTGATTACTGTCCCTTCAAGTTATTTTTTCACCTTATTAGAAATTCAATATCTGTATAAATCTTGAAGCTAACCAACTAAAGAAACTTGGTGCTCCAACATTCTTTGAGTCGAATACTCAGATTTTACCTTGAAACCGAAACTTCTGCTAGACCTTATCCTGTGGATATATGTGAAGCAATTTGCTGATCATTTTTATCTTGTCTTGTTGGCTCGTAATTTGTATTCATGCTGACAAGTTTTGGCTGTTAGCTTGAATCTTCCTGCTACAATTCAAGCGAGACACTTGTAGAACATAAACACTTGGAATATTGATTGGAAGGGCAACAACAGTCAGTAGGAATGCACTAGATCAAGATTATAATGGGCATTGGAAGCTTGAGGTGGTTGTCCTAGAGCCAGTAAAAGCTCTTGTATTTTTTTGTACTCCTAGATGTCATGGCTCGAAGGCCCTAGTTTTCCATGACATGCGTTTTTTCTCAGCAAAAGAATTAAACAATGGATGGTGTAGGTTTGTTGTCGTGTACTGGAAAGAAGTACATGATGTGAGATGCCTTTTTTGTGTTTCTAAAGTTGCCTTTATTGCCTGCAGAAAATGGAATGTCTATGCTTTTCTATATTCTCAGTGAACATGCATGTGAATGCAGGTGACGATCGGGAAGTTACAACTGCTCACTTGCTACTTGGAGTGTGGTCACAAGACGAATCACCAGGGCACAAGATATTGGCTGCCTTTGGCTTTAATGATGAGAAAGCTCAAGAGCTGAAATCTGTAATTTCTGAACCTGGATTTATAGACGATTAATAGCTTTTGGATTTAATTGTTGCAATTGATATCATTTTTAGGCCTGAAAACTACATGAATGAATTATTTCATGCGATTATCAAAGAAATGGTTACGCATTTTTAGAGGGCAAGTTGATTCCAGTACTTGATGACAGTATTCCCGTGTTTTGCCTTTTTATTTTTGTAAGAGGGAGAAACAGAAGGTGGACATGAGGGGCTTGGGTTTTGGGAAGAGAAGAATAATACTGATTCCACAATATCTACGTGCTGATGGACAGGTGGAGCATGTATTTGCAAGGTTACGCAACTGAATCTAATGCTTTAGCCTCCAAAGCTTTTGGCCTTTGGATGCATGCTTTTACTTGTGAGACTAACTCAACTTTGATTTGATTCGGCGGAGTTTGATCTAATCGTCTGTTTTGCTGGCTTCTCTTGTTGTGCAAGCACTGTAATAAATAGAGATTAGCTATCCCAGAGAGTAAATCGATAGAGTGATCAGAGTAACCATTTTCTTTGGGCAAGCTTTGTGCAGCAGAATGGTTAGGCATTAAGAGAAATTGTTCCTGGAATCCTGTTTGTGCTTTGTCATAATGCAACATTATTTACTCCAGAATTCTTGTGGTCTTCGTGATCCTTGATCTCCTCCTCCACAGGGGATGAAGTCAGCGATCTTGCCTTCCTTGCTTCATCCTTCCAGTCGATCCGTGCTATAAAAACCACCAACAGAACCAAGCAAGCAATGCATCCACTTAAGAAGCCTATCAATATCCCAGGAAGGCCAAGATGGATCTTGAAAGCCAAAACAGCTCCAACGGGTAAGGCAAACAAATAGAAACCCGTGATATTGGCATACATGGCCAATTTTGGTCTAGCCGTTCCTCGTACTATTCCTCCACAAACTACCAATGGAAAGTTAAAAACTTCTGTTACAGCCATTATCAACAGCATCTTTTTCACATTGCTCATGATTCCTTTTTCGTGGCTAAATAAACCGCCCCAGCTGTCTCTTGCTGATACCATTACAGACGCTCCAATAATGCCTGAGATTACACTAATGCCTACAGATATGTATGCTGATCGATAAGCAGGGCCAACCTGGTTTGCTCCAAGCTCATTTGAGATGCGAACAGATGCAGAGGTCGATAGTGAAATCATCACTGAATAAAGTAAGTAGTCAAAATTCATTACAATTGCTAGGATTCCAATTGCTTGTTTGGCATTTGGGAGCCTTCCGGTTAGCAGCATTAAGATCTCGTAGCACCACCATTCAAGGCAAGTGGTGATGCAACAAGGACCACAAAGTTTTAGCAACCTCTTCCAGTCATGAATTCCTTGCTCCCACCAGCCTCCTCCATTCCAGTTCCCTCGCTTTCCATGTTCTGCTATCAAAACATAGAAGGCGAGTAGAACGACTACTACAAGATCACTCATCCAAACTGCCATGGACACTCCTTCGAAGCCCCTAGCTCTTGAGAGTAACATGGTGATGGGCACATGAAAGCCTAATCCAAAAGCTGAGCTCAACATTATGGGAACAGCTAGACTTTGTGTGCTTAGGTAGGATTTCAAAGGGCCCAAGAATGAATAGACAACCAAATCAGGAAGGAGATACAGTAGGTATTTCCTCACGGCAACCGAAATTTCTTCTTGCTGGCCAAACTGAATGAGGATCTTGTCAACGTAAAGCCACAAGATAGAAATGGGTATGCTTGCCACCAACAGTACAATGATTGCCATGACAAGGGTCTTGTGAAGAAGCTTAAAGTTCTTAGCTCCAAAGGCCTGACCACATATGGGTTCCATGGCACAACAGAGCCCGTTTAAGACTGCGAAACCGGTCACATTAGAAAAGGTGGCACCAAGTGTACCACCAGCCAAGGAAAGCTCACCAAGCCGTCCAAGAAATGCAGTTGTGACGGCAATCCTTGCAAACCATGTAAAATTCATTGCCAACATTGGAACTGTTATACCTCGTTGCAGTTTTAACTCCGAAAGGATCAAAGATACCATGTTCCCAGACCATCTTTCTTTGGGACTTGAAGGTGAACAAGGCTCAAGATGAAGTTTGTCTGCTGTGTTTTCTTCTAGTTTCGATGCCATGGAAAGAATGGTGATTGCAAGACACTAGTGGGATTTTGGTGACCGGGATCTCTAACTTGAAAAAATGAGAAGCCAGTCAATAAAAGAAGCGAATGATATCATATGGGAGCGCATGCATTTCGTGAAGGAGTTGTATACTGAAGAAAGATGACCCCAAAAACTTGGCTTTATGATGACCAAAACGAAGAGAATTTGTTGGTAGATTTATAGTGCGTGATGATTCTGCAAGCTAAAGCTTTAATTGGTTAGAGATGCTGATGGGAATCGCAATGCTTGGTTCAGAAATGTCTTATTGGTAAACTAACTGCCTCATGAATAATTACCGGATTTATGTTTGCTGCTACCTTTGCATAAGAATAACATCTACCACTTGCCCAACTTCACAGGTTCATCTACTTTTTTTTTTTTTTAATCTTAAACGCAAATCCAGTGTCCCAGACATTTATAGAATTCAGTTCCATGCACAAAAGGTAATCCCTCCCAAGCATGGTTCAAAGTCGTGGTCGCGGTCGCGGTCGCGGCCGGAACGTTCCACATCGGTCTCGGCATATCGGTCGCGGTCTCGGTGAGACGCAAATTTTAAAGTATTTAATATTCTAAAAATTATTAATAATATAAAAAAAGTATGCTAAATAAAAATAATAAAAAATAGCAAAAGAAATGGCCGAGTCAATCCGTCACGGTGTAACTCGGCTAATTTCTCATCTTGACTCGGGATAACTCGGAGTGACTCGGCCGAGTCAATCCGTCGCGGTGACGTCTCGGCCGATTTCTCGGCGAGTCAAGTATTTCGGTATCGTTTCGTCACGGTATCGTATCGGTAGGGGCCGAGATGGTGACGACTCAGTCGAGTCGTCTCGGTCTCGGCCGAGACTTCGAACCATGCTCCCAAGGCCCCGCATGAACCTAATAATACCTTAGCTGGAAAATTTTGATCATTGAACCATAATCAATTAATGCTAAGGATAAATGACAAGGCCTTTGCTCTGTTTTACTATGTACGGTTCGCAGAACACCAATCATTTTGTTTAAAATATATATATATATATATTTTAAAAAAAGAGGAAGTTAAAACAAGAAGAAAAAGGGCTAGTCGATTGATTTCTTTCTTTAATTCTCTTTATCCCTACACTTTCTACTTTTGAAATTTCAGGTCACGTAGCAATTGGTGGACCGTGCAGAAAAGTTCCAGAATATGACACCATTGCTGTCTGTTCTCAAAAGGAGCAAGCAAATAATTCGTCCTCCACTGCCCCTTGCTTGCATCGCCCAAGGGGCTAGGAATTCTCTCATTTGGATGATTAAAATGATTTTTTTGGTGATGGAAATTTTGATCATTGTTCCATAATCATTTGTCTCATGATTACCTACATTTTCTTGTATCACAAGGCCTTCCGCTCTGCACTGCATGCGTATTACGTACAGTTCGGACAGCACCAATCACTTTGTTAAAAAAAAGGGAATATTATTTGCACTGTATTTTTTTTTTATAGTAGAAGCGTAATTAATAAAAATGAGAGTGTAAATAATTTTTTTACAAAAAAAAAGAAAATGGGCCACAGTCAATTGATTTCTTTTTGGGTAAAAAACCGCGGTGTCCTCAAACTTTCAACTTTGTACATTTTTAGTCCTGCAACTAATAAGTGCGTAAATGTAATGTTTCAATTAATAAAAATGTGTAGTCATAGTCTTTCCGTCTAATTTGACTGTTAAGATGGACGGGAAGATACAAAAATGATACAAAAAATAAAGGGATAATTTCATAAACCTTCCTTGAGGTTTTTAACAATTTCATTTAGCTTCCTTGATGTTTTAAAAATTACACATACCTCCCTTATCGTTTAAAATGACAATACTACCCTTGAATATTTAATGAAATTTCCTTGTTTGGTATGTTTATATTTAGAATGACTTTTAAAATTATTTATTATTCTTTTTCCTTCTTATTCCTTTTTTTAAAAAATTTTTGCCAATAAAACTATAAAACTATCACTATTATCTCTAGTTTCTATTGCAATCAAATGTCCAAATAGTGATTTTTTTGATGAGTTAACTTTATATGCAATCCAATGATTTTGCTGATCTTTATTTTCTATTTTTTGGTATTAAAATTAACAATAAATCAAATGAAAATGGTCCAAAATCACTATTAAATTATGACAATCCAACTATTCTCCAAATTCATAAACACTAAATGAATTATTTCAACATTTTCTTTTCTATCTTATAAATTTAAATCCATAATAAAATACCATCAAAAGTATCCTATCATAATGGTAAAATTATTATTATTGCCGTTTATCAATAGTAGGTACGAATATGAAAAATTTGGCACATTTTTCTTATAATTAAACTAGGTAATCTTATAATTGTATAAGGAAGTAAATTAAAACGCATTGCACAAGGGTATTTTTGGAAATTCATTTAAAAATTTGACCAAATCAATATTATTTTAAGGTTTTATTACTAAAACTATCAAATCAAGGGAAGTAGGTGTAATTTTCCAAACATCAGGGGAGCTAAGTGAAATTTTTAGAAACCTCTAAGGAGTTTTTTGTAATTATTCCAAAAATAAATGTCATGTGAGCAATGTGTGATGTGTTTCCCGTCTGTCTTACTAGTCAAATTGAACGGATGAACTACAACTACACATTTTTATTAATTAGAGGGCTACATTTATGTATTTATTAGTTGGAGGACTAAAAGAGTGCAAAGTTAAAAGATTAAGGATCACGCGATTTTTTGCCCTTTCTTTTTTAAATTCTCCTCATCCCTTCACTTTTGAATTTCAGGTCATGAAGCATTTGGTGGGCCGTGCATAAAAGTTCCAGATTACGATACCCAATCAACCAAAGATTGCTGTCTGTTCTCGAAAGAAGCAAGCAAATAATTCGTTCTGCATTGCTAAGGGGCTAGGAATTCTCTCATCTGGATGATTAAAATCTTTCCTGAAAATTCTACATTATTAATTTTGGACCCCCATTATTAATTTTGAAAACTATAGACTGATGTTATGGCTAGAAGGCAATATTATTCATCAAGTA